CAATGATATTATATCCTTGAATTCAAATTTAATACCATCCATTACAGTAACCCACTTTTAAGTTTTAACCTACTATTATACAGCAGAGCGATATTTTTTCCCGGTGCTTTAGAAAACTACTAGGAATTTCAAAATTTGACATCCCCAATGCATCAACTATAGATTCACTTTCCAACCGGAAAAGCTAGTGAAGTTAAAAATTAAAGTATTATTTCGACAAATTACCGTGTACACAGACTCAAAAAAAAAACATATCAATCTAAGATCAATAATATACTCATTGTTCCACTCAGAACCTTTAATAATAATAAATTTAATTCGACAAACCATTACCTATAAAAAGTGCTTTATAAAAAACTAAGTTCCATCATAAAACAATATTTGACATAGGAAATAAGTGAAAAACATGGTTTTTAAATTATTTTGTATCCAAATTTTAGGGAGCGATGCAAAAATAAAATGGAAAAACACAAAGGATACGTTTAGAAAAGAACTACAAAAAGAACCAATTAGACGTTCAGGTGATAGCGGGATTGAATATAAATCTAAATGGCCATTTTTTCAAATGATGATGTTTGTAAAGGATTCTTTACTTCCTAGTTCTATGTCCGGAAATTTAAATGTTGGAGAACCAGATTCATTTTCATTACATGAAGCTACTGCAGATGAAGCCAACGAAAGTGACCTTGACGTAACGGGTACATCATTTACTGATGTGACATCTCCGTCTACATCTACGTCACATTTAACCGATATTAATCCCAAGGTTACTTCAAAAATGAAAAGAAAGAAAAAAAATAGTGAAGCAGATGATACTCATAGACTTTTAGAACTAGAAGAAAAAAAAATTGCCATTCTGCAACAAGCACAAGACACAGAAAATAAAAAAAATGAGGACCCAGACGCTCAATTTCTTCTCAGTATCCYACCATACATAAAAGAATTTGATCCTTTAGAAAAACTCGAAATCAGAAGTCAAATTCAAAATGTAGTTCTAAACGTTTATAGAAAAAAAAAATACATTGGGAAACCGCTCACAGCTTGAGTCTATTCAAGACATTCAGACCAACCTTCTAAACCAGCCAAGCGTAAAAAAAATGTACCGTCCATATCAGGAAAGTAGTTTTAATTCTACTCTAGGACAATCCCAGTGGAGTATGTCTGGTAACGTTGATAATACGCCAAGAATTGCAGGTATGCAACAGGCTAGTGATGTTCTATTGGGAAATAATCAATTCAACCAAGATTTTTTTAATCTTAATCARCAGACGTTTTAAACACAAGTTTAAAAAAGTCAGTAACAAAATAAAAATATATTTACTTATATAAARGTGAATATATTATAAGATAACATTATGATTTAAATTAATTAGCTATTTGAAATTTGCAGGATGCCAAATTGTTATAATTAATTTTATGATTTAATTTATGTTTAATTAACAGTAATAATTTTATTTTTATTGATTTTTTTACCATTTTATATAATTAAATTTATTTTAAAAATAGCTGTTCTTTTAATTTTTTCTATTGATTTATAAACTATAATTGACTTACCTTATAGTTACATACAACCTTTCAGCAGGAGATATTGGTTTTTTGAAATTTGAAATCTTCTTTCTAATACGATGATTGATTTTACTCAATATAAAATCGTAAGTATTAACTGACATTCGTAAATATTCAAAAAATTTATCCGGTGATTTTCGTAAATCAGTATATAAATGGTGATATTCACCATATATTAATCTGCGGCGATTAATAGGATGAATACCCACTCTTTTTTTTTTTAAATGAATTCCTTAAAATTGGGTTATCTAACAAARTTGATAGACGATTTATCGACATGATTATAACTTGGAGTATAAAATCGAAATGACGAAAAATAAGATAAGTATTTATATTTTATACAAAAACGCTCGCCGCTCATCGCCCAATATACACACTTCGCCGCTCACCGCTGGTCATCGCTGACGCGCCGCTCGACGCTCGCCGCTCGCCAATGTACACGAGGCCTTAGAAGTAGCATTACAAACATTACATGCTTGGGAACTTGAAGTCTCGGTCAAAATGTTGACAGTCTTTCCATCCAGCATTCTACAAATAGGAACATGTTTAAATTTTATTTCTTTAGCGCCTAGGATAATTATTGTAGGCTCTAATGGTGATATTTGTGATTGTACTTCGTTATACACTTCTTTCACATTTAGAACATTTTCTTTTTTAATTTTGAATCCAATTGGTCGGCAATACCTTGTCGATGACGGTGCTCTATTTTTCCAAAATATTTTATTGTTGTTTGAATTTGATTCGCATATTTGTAGTGGAACAATTGTACATAAAATTATGTTTGAATCCGCATATTCTGAGTTATTTGCAAAATTTTGTTTATAAATACTATGTCCACCGCTGCCATCTATTCCCCATTTATAATATACTTCAATAGTATCACAGTCATCCGAAATGTTCTGGAGAATTACATTGGCCTGCACTTGTACCAGACGTTGTGTAGTATATATAAAAATATCTTTCAGTGGTACCACAGCTTTGTTTTCAGATATCTTAATATTTATAGGATAACATTTACTCTTTGCTTCTTGTATCACATGATATGAGAGATAAATGTCAGCACCTCTTTCTTTAGCTCCGAGCCGCATCGTAATATAATCTTCTTTTGTTAATCCAAGATCAACAATAAGACTTCTTCAGGGCTGTATAGGTCTTATAGTAATAGAAGATGATATATCATGCACCAATTTCATTTTTTTGAGTCTAGTGGGTGTAGTATCGATGGCTAATTTTAAAACTTGGGCTGCAGTTCTCCTCCCTGATTTCACCAGACTTGATTCAGCAGCTAAACAAACTTGTTCTGAATTATGATCCGATAAAATTGAATTTATTTGCCTTTGTTTACTGCGTTGAGAACTCTCTTCAAAAGATTTTTTTGGTCTGCCTCGGCTATTTTTTTCTGGACGTTTGAGTGCTGATAACGAAAGCTGTGATAGCTGTACATCAGGGAGTTTCAAGTCATCATCAATCCACCGCATATGCTTGGTATTAAAACGATCATACATATAATTACAAACACGCCATTTTTTAAAAATCTTCGAGACAAATACTTTAACAATACATTTTATTTGCTTAGTACAATGTTCAGAAAGTTCAGTATCACCAAACTTGTCTATTGTATAGTGCAATAAATGTTCATTACACTTATACAATGAAAAATTAAAAAACTGTTCATTTTGTAACAGTATAAATAGTTCTCTTCTCTTTATTTTAATTTTCTTATCAGTGGAATTGCCACGACTACCTAAAAATAATGCGCTCAATTTCAAAAAAGGGGAAACAAGTGGGCGTATATTTTACATTTTTATACTTGTAACTATATATTGTTTTGAATATGTCAAAAAAAAACAGTGGAACTTGATAGAACTTTTTTTATAATTCTAGTTTAAGTTGATATTTTAATATATTTGTTCAACAAAAATAATATTTCTTAAAATAATATTATATATATAATGTACATATATTATGTTAACAATAATTATTGCATATTAAAGTACATACCTGACGCTTCAATGTCCATATTGAAAAATATGTGATTTTTAATTTTGAAATGAACAAATCGAGTGTAATTTTATGACAACAACGCACGTAGTAACTAATCGGTACTAGTCGTGCGTCAAAATCCAGACTTGAAGTACACGCACAGACTATTTTGTTGCGATAACAAAATAAGTTATTACGGTACATTATGGACTAGTTTGTAGATAACGTTTTAAAGGTATTTTTAATAACTATGAAGAAAATATATATTTAAATTTTTGTCGTCGTAATATAGTTAATTGGCCTTATGTGCCCTTATGATGGGTGGTCACCCATCCGGGAGCTAGAAACTGCGGTCGGTACGTACGCTCAGTGCGTTTCCGCAGATTGAGCGTACGACCGCGCCTCACCAAGCCACGTACACAGTATATACCACATAACATTATGACAAACAATTGTCTGTTGATTCTAAATTGAAATGTCTCTGAAATGACTCTGATGCTGACAAATAGTATACGCCTCACAAAGAGAAAAGGATTTCAAAATATAGGTAAGTACCTATTCTTTTGTATATATTTTATTTATATTTATATTTATATAATTTATATTTTATTATATACTTATATTTATGGCGTAGGAAAAGTGGCGTCCCCATCGCCCGGTGCATTATAGTAAATACACCGCAATAGCCCCACCCTGACCTTAACTGGTTGGGGTGGTCTGGTCGTCCAGGTTGGGAGTTAAGCGAAGGGCTAACAACCCTTTGTAAAAAACATATTGTGACGAATCTAAAAACCAAGCCTCGGGACAGTATCAAGGGAAAACTAGACGGAAAACGGAAAAAGGACAACAAGAAACTAAGGATCGGAACATAGAATATCAGCACTTTGTTTAAGCCAGGAGCTTTAAAAATACTAATTGACGAAGTGACCAGGTATAATATACCAATAGTAGCACTAAAAGAAGTAAGGTGGCCAGGAAACGGTAGTGTTAAGTCAGGCAATCACACCTTATTTTATAGTGGATCGAGAAGCAATAGACATGAATATGATGTTGGTTTCCTAGTCAGCGATTCAATACTACCAAATATAAAAAGTTTTACTGCAATCAATGAGAGAATGGCCTTTGTACTTGTAAAAGGGAAAATTTGGGACATTGCCCTGCTGAATTGCTATGCTCCAACGGAAGATAAGAATAATGAAGTAAAGAGCGAAATCTATGAAGACTTATAGAACGCATACGACTCGCTACCTAGAAATACAGTAAAGATTATTATAGGAGATCTTAATGCACAGATTGGTCGGGAGTCTAGTTATAGGTCTACCATCGGACAAGAAAACCTACACGTGACGTCTAATGATAATGGAGTACGAGTTGTAAACTTCGCCGTGTCGAAAAACCTTGTAGTAAGCAGTACATTTTTCCCAAGAAAAGATATTTACAAACAAACATGGGTATCCCCCAATGCAATGACAAAGAGCCAAATTGACCACGTAATAATAAACAAGCGACATAAATCCTGTATAAGTAATGTAAGGAGCTATAGAGGAGTGGACGAGGATACAGACCACTACCTCGTAGTAACAGATTTTTCGGAAAAACTCTCAGTAAACTGGAGAAGAAAGCAACAACAAAAGCGAAGTAAGAAACAACTCAACTGGAATAAAGCTAAGGACCCGAAAGAACTACAAAAGTATCAAGCCATAATTGCTAAGGAATTAAACGAATTAAATGAATTAAGGTATTCGTCGACATCTGAAATCGAATTAGTCTGGGATAAGATAAAAAATACAGTAACCGAAGCTGCAAGCACCTTTCAAGAGGAAAGCCGAAAACCAAAAAAACATTGGTTTGATAAAGCCTGTCAAGATGCAATAAGTAATCGCAATGCATGCAGAATACAAATGTTACAAGATGCAAGTGAGGAAAGGATACAAGCCTATAAAGAAGCAAGAATTTTAGCTAACAGGATAATAAGACGCCAAAAGAGACTRGCAGAAAAGAAAGCGATTGAGGACATTGAAAGTTACAAAACTAATCCTAGACTGTTTTACAAGCAATGTAAGTCGATCAAGGAAGGATTCAAAGCACGTAACTGCACTATGTCGGATGRMGATGGGAACYTAGTWACTGGAACACAGGCCATAACTAATCTCTTTAGAGAACACTTTGAACAGCTGCTAAAGAACTCTCAAGAACCGAGCTTAGGCGATAAATACGAACAAATAATATATGACACTATACAACCGGAGCTGCTGGAACCAAATCTTGACGAAATCGAGATGATCATCAACTCTCTGAAGAATAATAAGTCGCCGGGAGAAGACAACATTAACGCAGAACTTCTTAAGCTAGCTGGATCACACCTAGCAATACAAATACAAAAACTACTTACTACTAAACTACTAATTAAAAGTATATGTATCAATGAGCAGATTCCCAAAGATTGGAACACAGCGATTGTGTGTCCGGTCTTTAAAAAATGAAACACAGCTAAGGTAGAAAATTACAGAGGAATTTCATTATTGGATACAAGCTATAAAGTACTATCCCTTGCGGTCTTAAAACGATTGGAATAATACGCAGTAGACATAATTGGAGAATACCAATGTGGGGGGTTCACAAGAGGCAAGTCAACTACAGATCATATTTTCACYATCCGACAAATAATGGAGAAGTACTACGAACATGATAAGGATTTGTACATGATCTTTGTAGAATTTAAGCAAGCCTATGATAGTGTCAATAGACAAMAACTATGGACAGCGTTGAGGAATTTCGGAATCCCAGAAAAGCTAGTCAAAATGATAGAAATATGTAATTCAAACACATATTGTAAAATCCGGTACCAAGGTGAGTTATTCCCACAATTCTAGGTTCAATCTGGACTAAAACAGGGAGATGCAATGTCTCCTATATTGTTTAATCTGGYGCTTGAAAAAGTAGTCAGGGATATACCAATAAATTATGAAATGGAGTTGAATGACAAGAATATAATGCTTGCGTACGCGGACGACATCTTTATACTAGGAGACACTAAAGATGATATAGTAGAGGCCACAGAGAAATTAATTGAGTCTAGTCACAGAATGAACCACGTTATCAATGAGAATAAAACTAAATACCTAGTTATGTCTAGGCATATGGTAAATACAGCAGCTCTAAAAGTAGGTCCCTATACCTTTGAACAAGTGGATGAGTTTAAATATTTGGGAGTCAATATTAACTCAAAAAATAATATGCATAATGAAATTCAGCTAAGAATAAGAAATACAAACAAAGCGTATTTTGCCATGAGTAGGATGTTCAGCTCCAGATTATTGTCCAAAGCTACAAAAGAGAAATTATACACCTCCTACCTCAGACCGATAGTAATGTACGCATGCGAGATATGATCCACAACACAGGGGGACGAAGAGAAGCTACTCACCTTCGAAAGAAAAGTCTTACGGAAAATTTACGGACCTGTGCGAAATCAAATTGGGGAATATGAGAGACGAAAGAACGATGAACTAGGAAGGCTATATAACAAACCAAATATCTGTTTGTTCTTAAAAGCGAAACGATTAGAGTGGGTTGGCCATGTCTGGCGGGCTGGTGAAAGTGTCATACAGAATATCCTAATCTGAAACCCAACAAAAAAGCGTCAAAGGGGAAGACCTCGACAGCGGTGGTTAGATAGAGTTAAGAAAGATATTTCARATACCGACGAGACAAAGCGATTGGAAGATGCAATGGACCGGAATATATGGAGAAGTTTGGTTGAAGCGTGCAAAAAGCCTTAATGGCTTATATAGCATAAAAAAAAAATATATATACTTATATTATATATTATATTCTATTCTATATAGGTATATTATATATAAGTATATAAAGAAAATTGTTGAATGATAGTAATCATTGATATCTACAGTTCAATATAATAGCATATTATAGAACACAAGCTACCTAATTTAATATTACTATGTAAATTACTTACCTGGTTATTTTTATTTTAGAAAAAAATTACTCTAATTCGAGTGATTCGAATGATACTTAAGTCCGCAATTGGCTCAATAATAATTATTGTAATGAAACACCACAATGTAAAAATAAAATATTATGAGAAGAGTGTTATTATAGAAAAAAATTGTATATTCTATACTCAAACACTTTTTAAATTTATTAAATTTGAGTTATAGCAGTTCAATTTAAATGTAATTTGAAATATTTATGCTTTCATATATTAGGCTTTTTATTTCCAACCACACAACAACTAAAAACAAAAGTAAAGATTTTGCTGAGAATGTGATCACTCTGGATGGCTCCTCAAATTATAATACAGTGATAGATCCTTTAACGAACACCTCTCAATAGCGGACATCTCCAAACAAATTTTAGGAAAGGTGAAATGTGTACTCACTGTATTTCTCCTCAAAATAGCGGACGATATTTAAGCGACTGAGAGTTTCCGGTATTTAGAGGTTTCACTGTGATGGTAAACAAAATATATTTCAAACTAGTGTTTCAGACATTTTAAATTTAGTTTATGTAGATGCCAATGTTGAAAATGATCATAGAGAACGTCTTGAAAAACAAAGGTAGGTATATATATATATATTATATATATATGGGATTTAGTAGAGAATAACGGAGTAACAACGAATAATTATAGGAAGGAACACTCTTTGTTCGGTAGCGGTACGGCTGACACGAGTAATAGCCTTGCGCCTGTAGCTATCGTCTATTGGCAGCATTGTCATTTTTCCAGTGTCGGATGTCCGCCGCGACGCGATTCTCGTGCCTCATTGGCGGTGTGACGTAATGTCGTACTGATATCATAATATATCCAGGCATGTTGTTTGTTGTTGCTGTTGTTCTCGTTGCCGTTATGAAAAAATATACTTTTTTCTTTCTCTAGTCGGTTTTTTACTCGTGTTGTGCCGTCGTAGAAAATCCGAATAAAATGCGTATACGCCCTCGTGACGTCACCGTTGTTCGTAATACAGATACAAGGTCGTTGTATTTTGTCATCGTTACTCGACCATATGTTCTCTAAACCGTGTGTACGCCCTCGTCATCACAGATACGCTAAAGTACCGTTTGTGCTGGCTCTATTCGGTCACATATATTTCGAGACGTTTTGCGTGTTGTGTGCCCTTCGTCTCACCACAAAATAATACACCTATAGCAGAGGTATTCAAACTTTTTCAGCACGTG